TGCTGCTAACACCTTTTCTTTCTTTATCACTACGCCAATAGCAGACTGGAGCTGGATGGCTGAACAGGTGTTACGACCCGTCTAGGGGTCCAGGTCATAACACGAGTGATCCATCCTCCTCTGATCTCGAGCGGTCAACACAAACAAAATTGACATTTTATAACGTTATTTATTGTAAAAAGATGTATTTTTTGTTGATACTGAAATGTTACAGCCAAGGGAGTAGATGTCTTCAGAGTGAGCCCAATGCCGAAAACAACAAACAAAAGGAACTATCTAAATATTAACGAACTTACCTAAAAAATAGAGAATCCAAATAACAAAAACTTACCTCCCTAACTACGAAAACAGGAGAAAACTAATGAAACATAAACGGCAGCTCACTCCTACAAACTCCAGAACGCTACATGATTTTTACAAACAACACAAAAGAGTGCGGCCGGTTGAGATGAGCGGAGGACGGATGACAGGAAGTGCGCGTCTTCAGCTTTTATATCCGTCACCTCCGGGAGACCACCAATAGGACGTCCGTCGTCTTCCGTCAACCAATCAGAGGCAGGCACCTGCACACTCAGATTTGCATAATTACGACGCCAGTCGTGACAACAAGTTTTAGCACAGACGACCCACAACATGGAAGACCTGGACTCAAATCGTGGCCTGGGATTTTTATGCATGGAGTTTCTTCCCATGAATCATGGATTCTCTCCAGGTAATCTGGTTTCCTAAAATAGTTTCTAATATGAGTTTTTTTTAATGTCTCTCTCAGAAATGTTGACATCTGTTTAGGGTGAACCTCACCCCTCGCCTCTAGAGATAGACACCAGCGCCCCTTGTGGTGAATGGAAACTTGAACTCTCCAATTCGGCCCAGTTAGTCTTATTCATGATGACTTGATAAGTCATCATTTTATTTTCCTCCATCCTCTCACTGGTCTTCAAAGTAAGGGCGAAGTGTGAAGTGAGGAAACGCGGGATCACTTTCTCTTCACAGTAAACATCCTGAGCATCAGGGTCATGAGTCCATGTGGAGTTCAAAGGTCAGTAACATCCTCTGAACTCAACAGTAGGTGACTCAGAAAAGACATTTGGTCAGCATCGTATCATCAGACACACATGGCCTTTAATAAGCGCAGAGCTGAAAGAAAATGTGAAATTCCAGATATTATTTTTATCAGGCAATTTATTAAAATGTGTATTCTGACTTTTTAGTGCACCTCACATTCAAACAAATGGCTTCCTTGTTGGTCGACATGGACTTGTCTGTGTATTCTCGACATTGATGTCTGCCTCTGATGGTCAGATCCATAATGTGCCTTTTGTTGATTAAGTTTTGGTTTCTGAGAACTTATTAAAGCAATGAACCAACAAAAATAAGGAACATGTTATACAAAGCACAAATATTTCTGGCCATGTATTTGCTGGTGTCAGCACGTCCGTTTATGGAAACGATCTTTTGCTCACTGTTTGAGCTGCAACACCCTCAGCCAACCCAGAATGTATCATCTGTCCTGTTCTGCTGCCTATACAGCTTACCTGCCGTCTGCTGCTCTGCCTCAGTTTTCCAGCCATCTTGTCTCCCAGTGGTTTGCCGACATTCTTGTCATTTGAACTGTTTTTGACTCGGCCTCCATTTCTTTCTTGGGTTGTTTTGCGGTGCTTGACCCCTGTCCTCCCTCTGTCCAGTCTTTTGTGTTCTGGATTTGTCAGCAGGTCTGATTATTTTTTTCTTTTTTCTTTTTTTTGCGCGGCCATTTAGATCATTGTTTATGTCCTGATTTATTGCGTCTGAATATTTCTGGCGTAGAGTCATGATGCATGTTTGCTATTATTGACACAAGAGTCAGATCGCATTTTAAAGTAACGTCCTCAACAAAACCAGCAAACGACACAAGATATTACAGTAACCTCTTTCCATTCGCCCTCACATGCTTTCCCTCGACTTTTCCCACATTACATTTAAAAGAAATACCATTACCAAATATTTTCATATAAAGCATTATGTTATAGTTGCACATTTAAATGGTGCTTTTGCTTTGTCATTCTCATGTTTTCTGTATGTTTGCCCACTCAGTTGGGGCTTTCCTGTTCAAAACCAGATTTCCACCACATCCGTAGTGAATCTACTCAAACCAATTACTAACAATGACATCAGAACAGACCTTTGACCCTTCTTTAGACTAAACCTCTGTGTGGGGGTGTTCAAGCAGTGGAAAGAGTTTGTGGTCAAAGACATTTGTGTTAAAAAATGTCTGTGTAGATGGCCCACCCTTTAAACAATCTATATTAGAAACACATTCAACCGTTGCTGCATTGGACAGGAAACCTGATTCTAACACATCACTGTGGTCAAAGCTGCACCTGCGTACTTTATGAGTATGTATGAGTAAAAGGGAAGGAAACAGGCATTTAGAGAATTAATTTTTTTTTAGTGCCTTAAACGCGACTTCTCCTTTTGTTTTAACTACTTTAGCGAGAGCAAAGTGCAGCTGCTCCACTCAGCTGTGCAGCAGGTCTGGAAGTGAAGATGGGGGAAACTTTACTCTGCAGACTGGGCTTCTTTTGTAAGTAAATTACTGGATGTCTATTCACTGTTTTGATACAATTATTGTGCAGAGTGGGGAAAGCAGCTCTTTGCTATTTTAGACTATCTTTTTTATAATTCCGAAGTTAGTCGAGAACAAACTGTGAAACATTTCAGAATCGTAAGAAGACTTGAAAATGATCAAATTGTGTTTGTGTCACATGGCAGTCGGTCGCCTGGATGATTTGTTGCAGCAGCAGAGTAACTGCGGAGAGATCAAATGTGAAAAGCTGGTTTGGTGTCGACCTTCTTATTGCTGTCCTATTCAATAAATTAAAATACGTCTGTATTCCAACGAGGATTGTTTGCCAGAGCCTACCTTTCAAAAATAACATTTAGGCAGGTATTGAATGTCGTTTTCATGTTGCCCACATTTCTCTAATTAATGGTTTTTCATTGGTCTGTGTCAGGGGTCGGCAACCCAGCATGTTGAAAGAGCCATTTTGGAGCAAAAAAACAACAAATCTGTCTGTAGCCGCAAAAAATTAAAAGCTTTATGTGAGATTTATGATGTTTAAGCTGTAAGTGTTTATATTTGTGAACACTTATAGTAAGGTGCGCTCTGTAGTCTGGAAAGTACGGTACTCTTTTTTGTTATTTGATAACTTCTCACTATAGTGCAACCATTCAGGTAATCTTTCTGGACTGGCAATGAATGCAAAGGATTCTGTCCAAGAATTGTAGAATCAGCTATTTTCCTCGTTCCCTCTGCTCTCCCACCACCACTCACCCGTCAGCTTGTTTACTGCCTCGCGCCCAGCCAGCTGAAAGAAATGTCACAGGCTTCGACGCAAATCGTCGTTGACAGAAATGTTGAAATTTAACATTTATTCTGCACATATTTATAGCATTGGGAAATATTAAGAGTGATTGTGTCAGAAACCATATTAAAACAAAAATATATTTCCCACCCCCATCTTTTTCAAATTTCAAACATTTTTTGAAAAAGCTCCAGAGAACCAACAGGGCGGCGCTGAAGAGCTGGTCCATGTAATATTCTCATTTTAAATGTCATATTCTCATGAGATGTGAGTGGAAAGTAATCAAGATCAATATTAGTTTTATGTTTGTCGGAAAATGTTTCATGTCACCTTAAAAAAAAAAAACAATCAATGTTTGTAATGATCAATTCTCATTCATTGCAGTGTTGTGGTCCCTCTGCTGTGGATGTGCTGAAGGTAAGAAACATGTTCTTTATGTTTCTAACCATGAATCATGATAACAGTTTATATATCAGCCATGTAACATAATATCTGACTCATGTTTTCAGTCCCGACAAGTTTACACAGAACAAGAAGCAGTTCTAAATTCATTGTGTTTATCTATTTCTATGATAGATGGAGGTAGAATTTATTTATTCTACCTATAGAATAAATTGATTCACATATTTATCTACTATGTCATGACCAATTGGCATATTAATTATGTAATTCCAGAAAATTTTACAACCTGGCGTTAGTCAGCTTATTTACACTGGTGCATTTCTCTCTGGGTTTTGTATTAATTTGGACAAGTTTCAATCCGAGAGCCTTTATTCACATATTTTACTGCTTTAGCTGCAGGAGGATTGGCAAATTAAACTCAGTGATTTAATTGCTGTCCCCATCTTAATTATTTTATTACATAAAGTTCATACTTCTATGTACTTTTTGAGAAAACAGTCACAAGCTTAATTTCTCCACTTTCTTTGTCTTGAAATCCTGCGGCCAGAGTTGATCTGACTCATGCTGCTACAGCAGAAACCGGCTGATAAAATCTAAAGAGTCTGCAAAGGCTGAAGTGTCAAATCTGCACAGCTGAGAGCAGAAGATAACATACACTGAATAGACAGATGCATTTTGTCCTCATTCCCTCAAGTTAAATCAGATCAAACTTCTCTTGTTTTAGGTCAGCTGGAATTACTTAAGTTGCTTCGGTTTGTTAGTGCCAGAGAGTGTGGGTTGAAGTTTTGGTTTGGTTCATCAGAACCAGCAGGACTTTCCTCCTACAGGCCTCAAAAGAGCCTTGCAGCTGTTGACCCTGTTTCCTGTTCATCACTGTTTCAAGCTTGGACCAGTTGATTGTCTGCAAAAGCAGAAGTAGAAATATTGCTGGTAGCAAAACCTGGCAGGGCCCTGATCCCAGAGACCAGTATTAAAATAGTATTATTGATCAGCATCAAATTGAAAAGTTGTTGAATTTTAGACATTGTAATAATAAAAACATTTTCTTGTTTGTTTTGTTCAATTTTATTTTTATTATCACACTTAAAGTAAGTAATGTTTGTATGAACAGTTTCCATTAAACCCAGTGTGATCCAACATCCCAAATGGACCCAGATATACAAAGGTGAACAAGTTACTTTGACATGTGAGATCCAGGGAGGCAGAGGAGCTGAGTGGACGTACGAATGGAGACCAGCCAATGAAAACTCTCCAATGACAAATGAATTGAGGATTATTCCAGCTGTCAGTGGAGATTACAGCTGCAGAGCTGAAACAGATGATAATAAAACAGAATGGAGTGAAGCCCTCAGACTGACAGTGTCAAGTGAGTTAGAATACAAATCTACACAAACTTAACCAAGAAAACTGAACCAGAACCAGGTCATGTTCTGATGGTTTGATTGATTTTTCTGCTTTGAATCCAACAGCAGATAAACCCAGAGCCACACTGACAGCAGACCCAACAATCATACCAGCAGGGGGCAGCATAACACTGACCTGCTCTGTGGACGGATCTGATGACTGGAAGTTTGATTGGTTCAGAGATGATCGACCAGTTCAGCTCAGTGGAACCAATGAACAACAAAGTGACGTCAGTGTCTCAGATGGAGGTGTCTACAGCTGCAGAGGACGAAGAGGAAATCCAGTTTATCAAACGGAAGAAAGCAACATTCAGAAAATTGGTGAGTTCAGTTCTATTCTGAAATAAAACAAAAAAAGCTGCTTTAAAATATTTATCTGTTTACTGGTCAAGTTTTATTACTGTTTGTTGAGCTCAGTTTGTGGTTCACCTTAAAACATAACATGTCTTTTTTTCTTTGTCAGTAAACATAATATGTTTTATTTTCATATCATTTAATGAGGCTTATAATCATAAGCTATAAGAATTCAGCATTTTCAGTTTTTTTTCTCAATATAATTTTCTGTCTTCTGATTGAATATTATAAATTTTAGTGTCTGCGCCGACTGTGAAGCAGCATCCCAGCTGGCCTGTCGTATTCACAGGAGAGACGGTCACTCTGAGATGAGATGGAGGACGATGAAGGAACTCAGTGGACGTATAAATGGAGTCCAGCCAATAGAAACTCTCCAACATCCAATGAATACAGGATCAACAGCGTCTCTGAGTCTGACAGTGGGAGTTACTATTGCATGGCTAGTAAAGAAGATCAGAACTCAGGCTGGAGTTTTCCCTTTGAACTGACAGTGAAATGTAAGTCTGACAGAAACATCCTCATTCTCACAATCCTAGAACATGGCTTGATTGATTTTTCTGCTTTGAATCCAACAGCAGATAAACCCAGAGCCACACTGACAGCAGACCCAACAATCATACCAGCAGGGGGCAACACAACACTGACCTGCTCTGTGGACGGATCTGATGACTGGAAGTTTGATTGGTTCAGAAATAATCGACCAGTTCAGCTCAGAGGAACCGATGAACAACAAAGTGATGTCAGTGTCTCAGATGGAGGTGTCTACAGCTGCAGAGGAGGAAGAGGAAATCCACTTTATCAAACTAAAGAAAGCGAAGAAGTCTCTGTTCTAAAAACCGGTGAGCTTTGTTCTTTTTCTGTAATAAAATAAACAATCTTTCTTAACTCTAGCATTTGTTTATCAGATGCTTTTTTGGAAGCCATATTGTAATCCCAATGATGAGAAAAAGCTTCAGTAAAAACAGTTTTTATATGACTGAAACTCCATTTGATGATGCCTTAAAATAAAACTGTTGTAAATTTTAATTGAGACATTTTGAGTTTTCAATCATCTTCAATACCTTCAATTTCATGTTTAAACCCTTTTTGCTGCATCTTTCCATTTCTAATACTGAATGTTTGATCAACTGGATTTTGAAGTAACTTAGAGTTCATGTGCTCGTCTTTGTGTTAGTTGATTTTAATCCAGATGTACTTTAGCTAAGATAAATTAGTGTTTTAGTGCAAAGTTAGTTTGGAAAAAGATGCTGTGGGAAAAATAAGTGTAAATTTTTGAGATTTTGTCATCTGAAGCAACAGAAAACATTCAGTTAGCTGTTTAATTTATTTTATTTCATTTATAGTATTTTATTTTATTTTGTTTTATTTATTTTATTATATTTTATATTATTTTATTTTATTTCCTGTCTTTAGCTGCATATCACACATGCAAACAACCCAAAAAAATTTCTGTCTGTTTTTATGTTGAAAAACTGTTTGTTTGTTGAATAGTTTCCAAGCCGACTGGACTTTGAGTTAGAAAACACAATTAATGCGTTTGTTAAAATACATTTAAAAAATCTTTTTTTTCTGAGTTTATGAGCTCAGAAATTAAAATAGTTTCTATAAAATTGTACTTTTGATTTATTAAATATTCAGCCAGAAAATGTTTGCTTAAACATTGTTGATGTGTGTGTCATACAGGTGAACATTAGAGATAATATAAGAATATTTCTGTCTGTTTTCCGGATGAAAACTGTTTTGTTTTGTTGAATAGTTTCCAAGCCGACTGTGATCCTTCAACCCAGTGGGTCTGTTGTATATAAAGGAGAGAAAGTCACTCTGAGATGTGAGATCAAGGAAGGAGGAAGAACTCAGTGGACAAATGTATGGAGAAAAAACGATGGAAACAATCAGAGAAGGTCCAGTGAATACAGCATCAATAGAGTCTCTGAACATCACAGTGGAGTTTACAGCTGTATGGCTACAGGAGGTCATCAACAAACAGAATGGAGCGATGGCGTCACACTGACAGTGAAATGTGAGTCTGATTTAGAAACTTTATATTGTTTGGATTTAATATAAAACCAGGTTTTCTGTTATTTCTGACCACAAACAAAATAAAAGCAAGAGACTTTCTATTAGATAAATATAAACAGCTTCATGTCACTGAAGTAAACACTACAGAGTCACTCTGCAGTTCAATGTTAAGCCTTTAATGTGGTACTAAGCTATACTCAACATTTTAAGACAGTTTAGTGTTAAAATAGTTTCGTTTTTCCTGAAGTTCTTATATGATTTAGTGATGTGGCCTCTGTGTCGAGGTATTGAAGAGTGTGTATTGAGTAATCAATGAGGGTTATTGTATCCAGGCTTGTGGTGTAGAAACAGGCGGTGACGTTTGAATCCTCCCAATCGGACCGAATCACATGACTGATTCAGAAACCGGACCTTGTGAATCCAAATGCATTGCTGTTTCTCCTGTCATATTTTCTTGTTTCAAGACTGTATTGTATATGTTTGCAATGTTTAGTGAGTTTCTTTTATGCAATGGACGTATTTTCCCCTTGTCTGGCAATAATGTAATCTTTCCTAATAAGCTTTGCACATGTTGATAATAAATTATCACCAAAAGCAAAACAGAGAAACCACCAAACAAAGATTAGTCACTAATATGATTTTCTTTTCCTTCTTTATTTAAAACCCGCAGCAGATAAACCCAGAGCCACATTGACAGCAGATAGAACAATCATACCAGCAGGGGGCATCATAAACTGACCTGCTATGTGGACGAATCTGATGACTGGAAGTTTGATTGGTTCAGAAATGATCAACAATATTTTGTTGGTCAGTTCAGAGTTATCTCTGTCTCAGATGGAGGAGTCTACAGCTGCAGAGGAGGAAGAGGAAATCCAGTTTTTCATACAGAAAAAAGCAACATTCAGAAAATTGGTGAGTTCAGTTCTATTCTGAAATAAAACAAAAAAAAGCTGCTTTAAAATATTTTTCTGTTTGCTGGTCAAGTTTTATTACTGTTTGTTGAGCTCAGTTTGTGGTTCACCTTAAAACATAACATGTCTTTTTTTCTTTGTCAGTAAACATAATATGTTTTATTTGCATATCATTTAATGAGGCTGATAATCATAAGCTATAAGAATTCAGCATTTTCAGTTTTGCTCAATATAATTTTCTGTCTTCTGATTGAATATTATACATTTTAGTGTCTGTGCCGACTGTGAAGCAGCATCCCAGCTGGCCTGTCGTATTCACAGGAGAGACGGTCACTCTGAGATGTGAGATGGAGGACGATGAAGGAACTCAGTGGACGTATAAATGGAGTCCAGCCAATAGAAACTCTCCAACATCCAATGAATACAGGATCAACAGCGTCTCTGAGTCTGACAGTGGGGAGTTACTGTTGTATGGCTAGTAAAGGAGATCAGAACTCAGGCTGGAGTTTTCCCTTTGAACTGACAGTGAAATGTAAGTCTGACAGAAACATCTCATTCTCACAATCCTAGAACATGGCTTGATTGATTTTTGCTTGAATCCAACAGCAGATAAACCCAAAGCCACACTGACAGCAGACCCAACAACCATACCAGCAGGGGGCAGCACAAACTGACCTGCTCTGTGGCTGGATCTACTGGCTGGAAGTTTGATTGGTTCAGAGATGAAGAACCAGTTCAGCTCAGAGGAACCAATGAACAACAAAGTGACGTCAGTGTCTCAGATGGAGGTGTCTACAGCTGCAGGAGGAGAAGAGGAAATCCAGTTTATCAAACGGAAGAAAGCAAAAAAGTCTCTGTTCTAAAAACCGGTGAGCTTGTTCTTTTTCTGTAATGAAATAAAATTCTTTGTTTAAATCTAGCATTTGTTTATCAGATGCTTTTTTAGAAGCCATATTGTAATCCCAATGATGAGAAAAAGCTTCAGTAAAGCAGTTTTTATATGACTGAAACTCCATTTGAAGATGCCTTAAAATGAAACTGTTGTAAATTTTAATTGAGACATTTTGAGTTTTAAATCATCTTCAGTATCTTCAATTTCATGTTTAAACCCTTTTTGCTGCATATTTCCATTTATAATACTGAAGGTTTGATCAACTGGACTTTGAAGTAACTTAGAGTTCATGTGCTCGTCTTTGTGTTACTTGATTTAATCCAGATGTACTTCAGCTAAGATAAATTAGTGTTTTAGTGCAAAGTTAGTTTGGAAAAGATGCTGTGGGAAAAATAAGTGTAAATTTTTGAGATTTTGTCATCTGAAGCAATAGAAAACATTCAGTTAGCTGTTTAATTTATTTTATTTCATTTTATAGTATTTTATTTTATTTTGTTTTATTATTTTATTATATTTTATATTATTTATTTTATTTCCTGTCTTTACCTGCATATCACACATGCAAACAACCCAAAAAATATTTCTGTCTGTTTTTATGTTGAAAACTGTTTTGTTTTTGTTGAATAGTTTCCAAGCCGACTGGACTTTGAGTTAGAAAACACAATTAATGCGTTTGTTAAAATACATTTAAAAAACTCTTTTTTTCTGAATTTATGAGCTCAGAAATTAAAATAGTTTCTATAAAATTGTACTTTTGATTTATCCAATATCCAGCCAGAAAATGTTTGCTTAAACATTGTTGATGTGGGTGTCATACAGGTGAACATTAGAGATAATATCAGGATATTTCTGACTGTTTTCATGTTGAAAACTGTTTTGTTTTTCTTGAATAGTTTTCAAGCCGACTGTGATCCTTCAACCCAGTGGGTCTGTTGTATATAGAGGAGAGAAAGTCACTCTGAGATGTGAGATCAAGGAAGGAGGAAGAACTCAGTGGACATATGAATGGAGAACAAACAATAGAAACATTCAAATAAGATCCAGTGAATACAGCATCAATAAAGTCTCTGAATATCACAGTGGAGTTTACAGCTGTATGGCTACAGGAGATCATCAACAAACAGAATGGAGCGATGGCGTCACACTGACAGTGAAACGTGAGTCTGATTTAGAAACTTTATATTGTTTGGATTTAATATAAAACCAGGTTTTCTGTTATTTCTGACTACAAGCAAAATAAAAGCAAGAGACTTTCTGTTAGATAAATAAAAACAGTTACATTTCACTGAAGTAAACACTACAGAGTCACTCTGCAGTTCATTGTTAAGCCTTTAATGTGGTACTAAGCTATACTCAACATTTTAAGACAGTTTAGTGTTGAAATAGTTTAGTTCTCCTGAAGTTCTTATATGATTTAGTGATGTGGCCTCTGTGTCGAGGTATTGAAGAGTGTGTATTGAGTAATCAATGAGGGTTATTGTATCGAGGCTTGTGGTGTAGAAACAGGCGGTGACGTTTGAAGCCTCCCAATCGGACCGAATCACATGACTGATTCAGAAACCGGACCTTGTGAATCCAAATGCATTGCTGTTTCTCCTGTCATATTTTCTTGTTTGAAGACTGTATTGTATATGTTTGCAATGTTTTTTGACTTTCTTTTATGCAACGGACGTATTTTCCCTTGTCTGGCAATAATGTAATCTTTCCTAATAAGTATTGGACATGTTGATAATAAATTATCACCAAAACCAAAACAGAGAAACCACCAAGCAAAGATTGGTCACTAATATGATTTTCTTTTCTTTCTTGTTTATTTAAAACCCGCAGCAGATAAACCCAGAGCCACACTGACAGCACACAGAACAATCATACCAGCAGGGGGCAGCATAACACTGACCTGCTCTGTGGACGAATCTGATGACTGGAAGTTTGATTGGTTCAGAAATAATCAACAATATTTTGCATCCCGGTTCAGAGTTATCTCTGTCTCAGAGAGAGGTGTCTACAGCTGCAGAGGAGGAAGAGGAAATCCAGTTTTCTACACTGAAACCAGCGGAAAGGTCACTATTGAGAAAAGAGGTAAACTTGTCTTTATTGTGAAAAGAAACATCTTTAGTGCTTCTTTGTTCATCAGTGGTGTTAAAAGTATTATGACTCCAGTGCAACGATCATCATCTGTAACTCCATCTAATGAAGCCTGAAAGCAGAAAATTTGCTCCTGTTCATGTTGATATTTAAACCAGACAATGAATTTCTATGTTGATATTGACAGAGGATTTACTGCAGCAACTTTTGTCTGTTTGATGGAAAAACTGTCACAAATGTGATTATATGATGCAAACAGTGCAACATTCTGGCTGTAAGCCAGTAATTTATAGGAAGTGCATATTATATGTCTAATACTGCTTTGTTTTGCTTTATTGTTCTTTACCAGTGATCATTTTATTTTGTTAGTTATAATGAGAGTTATTAGACAGATATTCACATACACTGGATCAAAAGTTATTAAAATTGTTTTCTCAGTGTATGAAGTAAATCAAACATTTTCTTATTTTAGTTCAACCAGAACAACCAAAATTATTTCTGTTTGCTAAATGAGATTAAAAAAACATAGTGAGCACATGTGAGATTTTTTTTTAATTTCTTTCTTTGAATTAAGAAATGTATTTACCTTTTTTTCTTTTAAACTGTATGACTTGAGTCAAATCTTTTGGGTTTCCTTCCTCAACTGTTGATAGGTTAACTATTAATTAATTAGCCTTCAATTTACATTTGAGTTAATTGAAGGCAGACCTGAAACTCACTGCTTCCTTGTTTGAAGTGATTGGCATGTCAAAAGCTACAAAAAAAAAAATCCTTCAAAAGATATTTTCACTATGTTTCTGGCATTTAGCAAATATAAATAATTTAGTTAATTCTAACTAACTTAAAACAAGAGATTTGATTTCAGACATTAGTAAATAATG